CGCATGTGGTGTTCTGGGTACTGCATCCAGAAGTTGAGCCACTCGGCGATCGACTGGCGCCTGAGCTCGATGGCGGGGTCCTTCTTCCTCATGGCGACGGCCAGGGCTGTGGAGAGGCAGCGGCCAGGGACCTTCCCCGCCGAGGCCTGGATGGCCTGGCGCCTCTGGTCGAGGATGGCCGCTGGGGCGAGGCCCATGATCTGGTGGCAGTAGGTCCCCTGCGGCCTGGGGCCCGTGTTGCACAAGCCCTTCGCGATCTTGGCGAGGGAGGCGTGCTTCCTGACCTTGGCGACGATGCGGTGAGTGCGCCTCCTCGCAGTCCTGGCCCTCTTGGTTGCCTTGGCCACGACCCGTCTCTTGGCGCCGCCCACGTCGATTCCGAGGTCGACCGCGCTGTTCGCCACCTTGACGTAGTAGCCCTTCTGCTTGAGGCGGTCGTGCACTGCGTAGGCGACCGTCTGGCTGGAGGCGACGACGGTGGTCTTGGGGGAGACTCGGAGCCCCGCGCCCATCATACCTGCGCACAGGTCGGCGCCGACTCCGATCAGATCCTTGATGGCCTGCTTGGTTTGGCCCTCTGTTCTCGCGACCGTGTCGCCCACGAACGTCCACAGGCCCGCGTATGTGTGGTTAATGTGGGCCCTCTGCAGGATCGGCCCCAGGTAGACTTTGGCGAGCTTGCCACCACTGCGGCTGCCCGCGACAATCCACCTCTCGGCATCTATGATGTCGCTGACCCAGCCGTGCATGCGCAAGTACCTGGGCGCCAGGTAGAGCTGCACCTCCAGCGCCGCGACGATCGGGGGAAAGTTCACCCCGATGGCGGCGTCGAAGAGGGGCGCGTAGCAGACCGAGTCGTAGAACTTCTCTACGTCCATCAGCAAGGTCGCGAAGGCAATGCCAAAGGTCGCCGCCGTCTCGTCAAGCAGCGCCCTGACCAGCGCTGCCCTTAAGGCGCTGGGGCCTTTGATGGCGGTGTCCCAGAACTCCCCGAGCTCCTTGGGCCACTCGTCGGTGACGCTGGAGCGGACCTTGGCCCGCGTCTTGGGGATAGTGGGGAGCATGCCCAATATTCTCTCTCTCCACCTGCGGGCTTGGGGGCCATGGCCCCAATGGTGGCGCAGAGCTGCTGCGGCCACAGTCCGTTGGCCTCCACCTGGTTGTAGATGTCGGCGAGCTCCTGGATCCGTTTCTCGGGGAGCCTCTAGATGTCGATGGGGCCGATGTTGTCGACACCTCTCGCCTTCTTCGGGTTGGCGGTGCCCGCGATGGCTTGTATGTGCTGCGGCTCGATTGGCGAGAGAGGGTCCTCTTTCGCAAGTCGCATGGCCTTCTCGTAGGCGCTGGTGATTTGCTTGGCGTTGTAGCTGCCGGACGCCCAAATGGAGCGCCAGGTGTCGGCGGAGTGGTTCATGACCGTGGATGGGTCGCCCACCGTCTTCTGGGGCTGCTTGTCCTCCAGGCGCGGCGCCTTGGGGTCGGTGACCATGCGGTGCAGCTTGCCTGGTGACTCCTTCCACGCCTGCTTCGCCCGGTCGAGGTGCCGTTTTCGCGCTCTGCCGGCAGCTCTCGCCATGGCCTTGTGGGTCCACTCCATGTTGGTGGCGCTGATGTGGTGCAGGTCGTCCTCGTCGCAGCGCTCGAGGGTAGCGAGCTGGGTCTTCCATTCTTCGATCTCCTGCGGGTCGGTTTTTCTACCGAAGTGCTCCTTGGAGAACTCAGGGTTCTCTAGGTCGTCCAACTTTTTCATGACTGTTTGGATGCGCTGGCGGGCTTTGGGGTCCTTGCCGTTGGTGACCAGCGCGGTGTACCTCGCGGCAAGGGTGCTGAGGTGCTGCCACCAGGTGGCCTCGGGGTCCTTTAGGTACGCTCTGCCAGGCGACGCCTTCATCGTCTGCTTGGTGTTCCTGTACCCCTCTGCCCTGCCCTGGTACCTGGCCCTGTCCTCGACGGGGGCCGCGTGCGTCTCCAGGAAGGCGAGCTCAGGGTCGCGATCCACTTCGCGTACTTCGAGTTGATGTTTTCCGCGAGGTTCGGCGCATGGTTGTGGAAGATGTGTCCTCTGCCCTCCTTGGTGCCGACCTTTGTGCCATCGAACTTCGGGAAGGACGAGGTCGGCGGCTTCGTCCCAGTTCTCCTGGGGGATGACGAAGGGGTGGGGTCCTCCTTGGCCGTCTCGCGGTTGGTGTGCAGGGCATCGAACTCGTCGCGCAGGTGCTCTGGTAGCCTTTCCCTCCTGGTTCGCAACGCCTCCGCGCGAGCCTGGGACCTTTTGCTGTTCGGGTCCGCGACCTTCTTGGGTCTGGCTCGTGCGGGGAGGGCTTTGGGAACCTTTTTAGCTTTATACTGCCACGGCTCGGCGGTGCCCACCGTGATCTGGATGCCGCAGTGGGTCTTCCAGGGGACGTCGTAGATGGCCTCGACCCCGACGTGCGTGGCGATGTCCGCCCGTGCGATCGCGTAGTCGTACACGGAGCCCGAGCCCTTGTCGCACGCCGATTCGCAGATCGGGTCAGGCAGGATGGTGCCGTTCCAGCGCGTGAGCCACGGCTTGTTGTCCCACCAGTGCGGCTCGTAGTTCCAGTCGGCCAGGGTAATCCACGGGTCCATGAGCATGTCCACGAAGGTGGAGATGGAGACCAGGATGTCCCTGTTCGCGCCTTGGTCCCGTAGGCCAGGGCGAAGGCACGCCGCCACGACGACTATGTTGCCGCTCTTGGAGTGGAGGACCGTCGGCGTGAACCCCACGAACGGCTCCCTCTTGTGGTGCTTGACATCGTTCTCCCTGTAGCCCTCGAACGTAGTCGCCGCCGCGTCCCTGCGCGTGGGGATCCACTCGCCGCCATGGGTCCCTTTGTCCGATTTGTTGGTAGCCACCGCGGGTGTGGCCGAAAGCTTCCAGCCGTCCATGGCGAGCTTGCCAATATGCTCCGTGAGGCCGTTCGCGTCGACGTGCGTCTCCGCTAGCGCTATGAGGTGGTAATTGTAGCCTGCGTTGCGACAGAAGTTCGCAGCCTGCGGGCCCCATGCCGTTATGTTGCCGAGCAGGATCTGCGCTGCCTGCTCGGGCTTAGGGGCGGGTGCTCCTGCCGTGGGGGACCCACTGGCGCGGTTCCCAGGCCCCTTAAGCCGATGAGACTGCTTGCGGCTACCCCAGCGACGGTGGGGCTCCTGTCGCTGCCGCTGGCACCGTGGTGGCGCCCTTGCCAATGCCCTTCGCTGCGAAGGCCAGCTCCCTGGCCCTGGCGGTGGTGGCGATGAGCTCGGCGGCGGCCTTGCGGTCCTCCACGGAGGGCTCGTCGGCGGCAGGGGCGGCTGCGGCGGGTCCAGGGGCCCCTGGCCGGCGTGGCTCAGCAGGTAGGGCGGCAGAACCTCCTGGCGTGCCGGGTTGTGCCTGTCCTCCAGGTGCGGCCGCTGGCTGCTGTTCCGCTGGTGATGCGGGAGCAGGCTCAGGAGGAGGTAGCTGAGCAGCAGGTGCCTCCCCATTCGGCTTCTTTCGCTTCGCAGGGTTGGTGGTGGACTCCTTGGCTTGGCGTAGGAGCTCACGTACTTTTTCTTGGCCATTGTTGAGCTCGGCGAGGCGCTGGTCGAGCTCTTGCTTCCACTGTTCCATCTGGGTGCGGGTGCCCTCGTCGTAGATGGAGAGGTCGTCCCACATAGAGCTGTCGACCTTGAAGGCTTCCTGAGGCCCCACATGTGGTGCTCCGCGAACTGCTCCAGCAAACTTGGCACTGTGGTCAGCTTGTGCCTTGGCGCATGCGTTCTGTGCCTGGGCGAGGTCCAGGGCGGCTTGCTCTTGTTTGTCCACGGCATCGTCGTAACACTGCTTGGAGGCCTCGACGTCGTCGACCGTTTGCTTGCACTTCTTCTCCCTGTCGGTGAGGACTGACAGCGCCGACTGGAGCACCTGCTCTGCCGTGCGGGCAGGCTGAGGCTTGTCGGGCTGCTGGAGGGCGTCCTTGAGGTTGCCGACGAGTTCGGCGTGCTTGGTGTCGTTGAGTAGCGTGCTGAGCGTGGCGGAGATGGCGTCCCTAGTCGGGGCGGCGGGCACTGGCGGCTCCTTCCACGGCGGTGGCTTGCTGGCTCCTGCCCAAGCCCCTGTGGGCTGGCGGTGTTCGGCAGGTGATGGAGCCAGCTGCTTGCCACAGTAGAAGCACTCGGGCTTCCCCTTCCATGTCCATCGGTATCGGCACTGCTTGCAGACTGTGTATTGGCTTGCGAACCTTGCTGGCGAGCTTCGTCCGCCTTCAGGGCGTGCACGTCGCGGCCTGGTGCCGCCATTGGCGGCGGCTCCTCCGTCAGCAGGGGCGGTCCCTCCACCACGCTCTGCGGCGGCCATCGTCCCTCTGCTTCCCAGGGAGCTCTCGCGAGCCACGCAAGGGAGGAATATGGAATGGGCGGCAGCTCGCCCGTGAGTGTAGCTGCGGTGGGCGGCAGCTCGCCCGTGAGTGTGGCTGCGGATGCGAAGAGCACTGATAGCTGTGGGAGCCTACCCCAGATCGGCAGTGAAATGAACACCATTTTGGCCTTGAGCCAAAAAGGCTACGGAAGGAGGAGGCGGAGGAGGAGGGGGAGGAGGGAGGAGCAGGAGGAGGAGGAGGAGGAGGAGGAGGAGGAGGAAAAGGAGGGGGAGGAGGAGGAGGAGGAGGGGGAGGATGAGGAGGCGCAGGCGGAAGAGGAGGAGGAATAGGGGGCTGAGGAGGAAGCAGATGAGGCGGCGGAGGAGGATGATGAAGAGGCGGAGATGAGGAGGACGAGAGGAGGAGGATGAGGAGGAGGTGGCGGAGGAGGAGGAGGAGGAGGAGGAGGAGGAGGAGGAGGGGGAGGATGAGGAGGATGAGGAGGAGTAGGAGCAAGAGGAGGAGTAGGAGGAGGAGGAGGAGGAGGAGGAAGAGGCGGAGGAGGCGGAGTATGAGGAGGCGGAGGCATAGGATGCGGAAGAGGAGGAGGAGGAGGAGGAGGAGGCGGAGGAGGAGGAGGAGGAGGAGGAGGAGGAGGAG